CACAAAAGCGCGCAACTCCCCCCCCCCAAGAAAAAGCCCCACACAGGTGGGGAAAGGGCGAGGCGCCTCTCTGCGCGGGCGCGTTCAGCCCAGTTCTATGCACGTGTGAAAGAAGCACCCAGTAGCCGGGCACACGCAGAGAGGACAGCCCCTCTCCCTGCCCTCCGCTGGAAGCGAGAGGGAGGGCTCTGCACCTGCAGCTAGAGCCAGGCTATACAAAGGCTGGGGGCGAGTGGAGACGGCGCTCTCTCCACCACCAGCGCAACCTGTTGCTTTTCTTTTTCTTTCCATATCTCTCTCTCCCTCCCCCCGCCTGCCTCCCAGCATGAATAACGGCGTTCACACCCCCCCCCTCCCGGGAAGGGAAAGTGAAGACCGGGTCTACCCCCACCTCTGCACAGCTTACTTGTAGGCCTTACGGACTCGGGCAGGGAAAGACGCCTAGCCGTCACCATGGCAACGGGGCGGCGCCAGGGAAAGTGTTCCGCCCCCGCCTCCCAGGCGCGCCCTCGCGCCCTCGGCCTGGCTTGGGGGAAGAGGAAGGATCCGGCTTCCTGCTATAGTGGCCGGCTGACGTGTTCCATTGGCTCTCTTCGCTGCTCTTTCATTCATTTATTTGAAAAACTGGCTTTAATTGAAAGATTTCCTTGCGCTACAAAACAAACAAATAAACGGGGGAAAGTGCATCTTTCGTCTCCACTTTCGATTCATGGAGACTTTTTCATGGAGCGTGGCTGGGGAAACCCAGCCAGATGGGCAGGGTATAAAACAACAACAACAACAACAACAACAACAACAACAACAACAACAACAACTATTATTCACAGTTCGCCCTTTGCTATTTTGTCAGTCGCTGCAAGAGTCGAAATAGCTGCCAGTCTGTTATGGGCGTGTGAGTGAAAAATCTTGTTGGATTACTTTTTTCAGTATCCCAACCCAGCTGCTGGAAGGTACTGCCGGTTACATTTTCTTGGTAAACAGGCAACTTCAGCCTGCAGCTAGATGACGCCTTTTGCACATGGTGTGCAGGGCTGAATTTGGAGCACATGCAGGATTTCACAAAGAGATTGTGTGTTAGGCACAACGGGAGGTGGTGGCAGAGGCGGAGTCAGCCTGGCAGTGGCTGCAGAAGGTGGCAGAAGTGGAAGTGGCTTGGCAGGTCTTGCTGCTGTGGTGGGAGGCAGTGGCAGAAGCAATGGTCTGCCAGGCCTGGGCAGTGGCGTAACGTGGGTTGTCAGCACCCGGGGCAAGGCAAGTAATTTGCGCCCCCTAACCCGTGGATTTGCACCCCCTAACCCTAACCCCCAGATGTTGCGCCTGGCCCCCCCTGCACCCCCCACGCTACGCCACTGGGCCTGGGAGGCTTCGCTGAGGTGGCAGGAGGTATGGACAGAAGTGGCGTTGGCCTGCCAGGCCGCACCTGTTTATGCCACTGCCCCCTACTGCTGTGATGAGGACTGGCAGACCGCCAACGCTTTTGCCGCTGCCACTTCCTGGCACAGAAGTGAGGCCTTCCAGGCTGCTGCTTCTGCCGCTGCTTTCTGCCACCTCCTCCCACCGCTGTGGGAAGGCCTGGCAGGCCACCGCCACGTCTGCCACTGCCCAGCTCAAATATTATGAAACAATTATCACAATATGAACTTCAAACTGGTTTGGGGCGATATATTGATATATTGCCCAGCCCTATTCAAGAAGCAAACTTCTGGCACCAGCTTCCAGAAATACATCAACGTTGGTGGCCCAGCGGGCCTGCCAGCAGCCTGGCACTCCTGCCATTGGGAGTGAGGCAGGCCTGTGAGGTTAGCAGCAGCAGCGCCCTGGTAGGCCTTACGCTGGTGGTGACACATATGAGAAAGTAAGTCTCACGGAGCTCCACAGGATTTTCTTTTGAGTAAATATGCTTCAGATTCAGCTGCCCATGTGAAAGAATCATAGGTTGTGTGGTATGAGCTGTCTGTTTTTATTTCATAAAAGAACTCTAGAAATCTTTTAACATATAACTTCCTTTCTTGTCTAGAAATAATGTTAATATGATATTACAATCATGGGTATCTTTCAGTTTATCATATCAGTCTAGTTCCCAAGCAATCTTTCTCCCTTGCAAATTTCAGAATGTGTTTTGTAGCTGCAAAAGGCTGGTGTTTTGACTGACATGGAGAGCTGTTGCTCTGTGCCCACCTGGGCAGGTTTAGGAAAACAGCATTGACTGCAGCCTTCTCCTTTTTGCACAGTTGTGTGTATGCCAAGGTTCTAGGTTTCTCACTGGCCTCTTAAATGGCCACTGAAGAAGCAAGCATTTGTCCCAACTCTTTCCTCAACATGTTTCCCCCCTCTCTGACATTTCTGTCTCACCTCACTCCGCTACATATCCCTAGAACAGGCACCCCCAAACTCAGCCCTCCAGATGTTTTGGGACTACAATTCCCATCATCCCTGACCACTAGTCCTGTTAGCTAGGGATGATGGGAGTTGTAGTCCCAAAACATCTGGAGGGCTGAGTTTGGGGATGCCTGCCCTAGGAGCATACTAACTTTACGAACCCCTATATAACAATGTTTAATCTCCTATGATTTCCTTAAAAGTTATGAAGATAGAGATTTCAATCAAACACTCCCCCCTCTGACTAAACATGCTGGTTTTCTTTTGACTGATTACCAAGACAGCCTGTTTACATTTGTATAAACAACACCCTACCTACTAAAGTAATCTGTCTCTTCTTTCTAATGATAGACATAGTTTCTATAGAACCATCATCGGAATTGTCTCTGTGTCATGTGTTTCTTTTGTTTAACTCTGTTTGAGAAACGTGATGGAGACAGTGGGTGCCAATGAAGATCAAACAGACTTTCTATAAAGAAATCACTAAAGGAATCTCCAGTCTTGCTTTTCATTAATATGGGTTAGCATCATGTTTCTTGTCATTAGTGGCTAAAAAGCCAAAACTTTTATTTTATTTAGTCTTTCTATAGAAAGGATGGGGTAACCTGTGGTCCTCCTGAAGATGTTGGACTACATCTGTCTCCATCTCTAACCATTGACAGTGCCAGCTGGGTCTGATGGGAGTTGGAGTCCATCAACAGCTGGAAGGCCATCCCCTGTTGTCCTAAAACATATTTACCAGAGCGTAAGCTCCTCTAAACATATTTAAGGCTTGGTGTTAGCTGTGCCATGTATAAAGATAAATCAAGTACTGGCAAATGGTCCCTACCAGAGAGTAAGCCCAATTTCATTCACTGAGACATAAGGTAAAAAAGGTAAAGGACCCCTGGACGCTTAAGTCCTGTCAAAGGTGACTATGGGGTGCAGCGCTCATCTCGCTTTTCAGGCTGAGGGAGCTGGTGTTTGTCCACAGGCAGCTATCTGGGTCATGTGGCCAACATGACTACACTGCTTCTGGCACAACGGAACACAGTGATGGAAGCCAGAGTGCACAGAAATGCCATTTACCTTCCTACCAGCAGTACCTATTTTTCTACTTGCACTGGTGTGCTTTCAAACTGCTAGGTTGGCAGAAGCTGGGACAGAGCAACGGGATCTCACCACCACTGCACAGATTCAAATTGCCGACCTTCCGACTGGCAAGCCCAAGAGGATCAGTGCTTTAGACTACAGTGCCACCCGCGTTCCTCACTGGGACATAGTTCTGAGTAGTCATGGTTAGGATTGTGCTGTTGGCAGTGAAAAAGTGCTCCGAGCTTGTTTATGGTTACTTAGAGGAAAAATCAATTTAAAGTAAAAAGAATCTGAATAGAAGTACTAGGTACTGTATGTTAAATTGTTTTCTCAAGCAGCCTCTTTTCATGCCATTTGAAGGTCTGGAATTCAAAACTGAAGAAAACTCTTTTATCTTGCAGATTTAATTCATGTAAAGTGTGTCTTTAGACAATGAGCAAAAGAAATATTAATATTCCAGGGTTTGCTAATAGTGGATACACAGAGAGTAAACATAACCTTTACAAAAATAGTGATCCATGAACTTACATGTTGAACTAAAATTTGTGAAACTACATAATTTTACAGTAATGGTACTAAGTTTTAAATTCACAGTTCCAGTACTAAGAATCCTTAATTCCAGAAAGATTTTAAAAATCTACTATGATGCATATCTTTACCTAACCATCATACAACATACAATAATGGGGTTTTAAAGATGGGTGGTTCCATGGAAAGGGAAATTGATCTACAGATTAGGATGCTAGTGGTAGGTATTATTAGATGGATAAATCAATAACATTATATGCAAAAGCCACAGGAGTAATGCCATTGCCAATGCTCTTTATTTGGCTCGAGGATTGGATTTGTGTAGACAACTCACTGAGCAAATTGAAATTTGCCTAGTTCTGTACATTTATAATGATCCAAAAAAGATGTGTGATATTTAGTTAGAACTGCCTCCTTCATTCCTTAAGTTTTATGTTCTTAATATGTCTTTAAGGTTTTTAAATATTATATTCATCTTTTGATGAGGCAGTTACATTTTTTAAAATATAAGATAAATAATATCTTTTTATTTTGAAAGACAATTCCTTTGTAATGGAGGGTTTTAAGGTGTGGGATGGGATAATATATTCAGCAGAGAGAGTATATTGTTCTGCCAGTAAAGAAGAGAATACTTGCTTGAAGCAGTTTATCAGAACAGAATTCATCCTATGCAGATAGATTTTGGGGAATAAAGTGGTCAAAAGATATATGGAAATTGGAGGAATACATTTCACATGCTAGTTACTGTCTTAGACTCCACATCTGCATACACATATGAACTCACATTAGTATTGTTATGGATTTGTGGGTATCCAAATTCCCCTGGGTGTCTGGGTGCCCTGCCTCCCTATAGATTCCTGTGGACTAAGCTTCTTTTCCAGACCAGGGCATCGCCTGGGGGGAAGCTGTTAAGGAGTACAAAGGTGCTGATGACCAGTCATGAACACATCAAAGGAAGATTATTGAGTCTGGGAAAAACAAGGGTTGCCTGGGTTACAGTGGGCCTTGAAAAAAAAGTGGTTGCTTTGCAATAGGCTTGGAAAACGGAAGTTGCCTGGGTGACAGTGGGTGAAGCTATAAGCGGAAGAGGAGGAGTTGTTTCTGCAACTGGTGCTGGGAAGAAGCAGGAAATGGGCAGACAGCCACACGGCGCTGAAGAAGAACAAGCCATCTCTACAGGGTGCAGGCAGCATGGCTGATTCATCTGCTTGTGGATTCGAGCTGGTTGCTCTTAGCAGGGCGACAAATGACTCTCTTGTGATGTGAATGCTGGGAACTCTCTCCATCTAGGTGCAGGTTGTAAATATGTGTAATTAAACCGTATTTCATATAAACACGGCAGTCTCTGCTGTGCCTAATTCTCCAGAAGGAAATACAATTCTGGGTCAGTGCCCAGAACCCCCTGGAATCTTCTTACTGCTTGGCAGAGATTGGGAGTTGCATGTAGCAGTATTAAAATATTGCAATCTAAATGCTAAACTTACTGCTTATGTTCTTTTCAGCTATAGGTTATCAGCAAAAGATTTGTTTTTAAACACTGGTAGTTTGCACATATATTGGCCACAACACGGCTGGATTGAATTATGACGGGAATGCTGCATGAACACCTTTTTGTAAACTGAGGTCAGTCAATCAGTTTATTATTATGGTCATAGACCAGCAGTTGTTTGAGGTCTTGTATTATAATCAAGCGGTATATAAATCTTGTAAAATAAAGATTTTATTGTGTAGACACAAAGTCCTCTCCCCTAGCATGGAAGACGAAGAGCAGACTCCATTTGAGGATCTCTCCCTCATTACAGTCGATCAGGTATATGAAGACGAGCAGCAAAGTCAGTCCTCAGGGAATGTGCAGGCGACCTTGGAGCGGACAGCTCACGGAAGAACCCCGACCAAACCTAAGAGGAGGCGTGTAGTGGTGATAGGGGATTCCCTACTGAGGGGAACAGAAGCAGTGATCTGTGGGCCTGACAAGATGTCTCGGGAAGTGTGCTGTCTCCCGGGCTAAGATCCAAGATGTAACTGAACGACTGCAAGGAATCATAAAACCCACTGACAAATACCCTTCCTCTTGGTTCATGTGGGAACCAATGACACTGCAAGCAATAGCCTCCAGAAGATCAAAAGAGACTACGAGGCTCTGGGCAGGAAATTGAAGCAATTAAATGCACAAATTGTGATCTCATCTGTCCTCCCAGTTGAACGACGTGGCCCAGGGAGAGAGGGGAAAATAGTGGAAGTGAACAGCTGGCTTCGCAAATGGTGTAAACAGGAACGGTTTGGATTCTTAGATCACGGACTGCAGTTTCTTGAAGATGGACTTCTGGCAAGCGATGGGCTGCACCTCACAACGGTTGGGAGAAATGTTTTTGCCAAAAATCTCAGAAACCTCATCAGGAGGGCTTTAAACTGACTAATGTGGGGAGGGAGACAGTGCTCCTGAAGGTAGGAGTCTATCAATTGATGAAGATGATCATCCAAATGTCATAGACCAAATGGAGCAAACAGCACACAGACCTAGTGGTGGGAGGAAAAATCCTTAAATAAGAGTCACAGGGGAATGATTAATGGACTTCAATGTCTGTACACTAATGCGCAAAGCATGGGAAATAAACAAGATGAGCTTGAGCTCTTGGTACAGCAAACTAAATATGACATAATAGGCATCACTGAAACCTGGTGGGATAAGTCCCACGATTGGAATGTAATAATGGGGGGGATACAATCTATTTCAGAAAAACAGACCAGACAAGAAAGGAGGAGGAGTGGCGTTATATGTCAGGGATGTGTATACCTGTGAAGAGATCCAAGATTTAGAACCTCAAAGCCAAAGTGAGAGCATTTGGGTCAAAATTAAGGGAGAGAAGAACAACAGTGACCTCATTGTGGGAGTTTACTATAGATCCCCAAGCCAAACGGAGGACATAGATGATGCCTTCCTGGAACAGATGGCCAAGCATGCAAAAGGAAGGAGATAGTAGTAATGGGGGACTTCAATTACCCGGATATTTGTTGGATGTCAAACTCAGCCAAGAGCATAAGGTCAAACAGGTTCCTCACTGGCCTTGCAGACAACTTCATTGTCCAGAAAGTGGGAGAAGCAACAAGAGGAACAGCCATTTTAGATCTGGTCCTAACCAATGTTGATGACCTGGTTAGTGGGGTAGAAGTGGAAGGATCATTAGGCGCGAGTGATCATGCTCTTCTGAAGTTTACTATACAGCGGAAAGGAGCAGCCAAGCATACTAGGACTCAATTTCTTGACTTTAAGAAAGCTGACTTCATAAAACTTAGGGAAGTGCTGGGTGAGATCCCATGGACAGTAATACTAAAAGGAAAGGGAGTTCATGATGGCTGGGAGTTTGTTAAGAGGGAGATACTAAAAGCACAACGTCAGGCAATACCAATGAGACAGAAACATGGAAGGTGCCTAAAGAAGCCAGGGTGGCTATCTAAAGAACTTTTAACTGAGTTAAGATTAAAAAGGATGTGTACAAAAATGGAAAAGGGGGAAACCACCAAAGAGGAATTCAAACAAATAGCCAGCACGTGTAGACACAAAGTCAGAAAAGCTAAAGCACAGAATGAACTCAGGCTTGCTAGAGAGGTTAAAAGCAACAAAAAGGCTTTTATGGGTATGTCCGTAGCAAAAGGAAGAACAAAGAAACAGTGGGGTCACTCAGAGGAGAAGATGGTGAAATGCAAACAGGGGACACAGAAAGAGCTGAACTCCTCAATGCCTTCTTTGCCTCAGTCTTCTCCGATAAAGAAAACAATGCCCGACCTGAAGAATTTGGAGCAAATGATTCAGCAAAGGAAACACAGCCCAGAATAACTAAGGAGATAGTACAAGAATACTTGGCTAGTTTAGATGTATTCAAGTCTCCAGGGCCAGATGAACTGCATCCAAGAGTATTAAAAGAACTGGCAGATGTGATCTCAGAACCACTGGCAGTCATCTTTGAGAATTCCTGGAGAACAGGCGAAGTCCCGGCAGACTGGAGGAGGGCAAATGTTGTCCCTATTTTCAAAAAGGGGAAAAGAGAGGACCCAAATAATTACCGCCCAGTCAGTCTGACATCAATACCAGGGAAGATTCTGGAGCAGATCATTAAGCAAACAGTATGTGAGCACCTAGAAAGGAATGCTGTGATCACCAATAGTCAGCATGGATTTCTGAAAATAAGTCAAGTCAGACTAACCTGATCTCGTATTTTGACAGAATTACAATCCTGGTATATGAAGGGAATGCAGTGGATGTAGCAGTCCATCTCCCCGTCCCCTTCCGAGTCCGGGAATCCTTCCAACTCCTCCTCCTCATCAGTGGTCCCAAGTATTCCCTCCGGAACCTCTCCACAGGCTGAGGTTTCCTTGGGAACCTTTGATGGAACGTTTCTATCAATACCTCGTCATTGATATCTTCGGCCATTACCCAAGTGTTTTCTGACTTCGGTTCTCCTTCCCACGCTACCAAATACTCCACCTGATCCCCCTTCCACCTGGCGTCGAGGATTTCTGCCACATGGCTGCTGCATTCTCTTTCTTCTATGACCGGTCCCCGAGTGGCCATCCCTTCTCGTCCCCTTCGTACGGTGACAGTAACGACCTGTGAAATACTGGGTGCAGTTTCATGTGGTTGGGTAACCGGAGCCTGAAAGCCACTGGGTTGACCTGTTGAATGACCTCAAAGGGACCCAACCTCCTGGGTCTTAATTTCTTACAACCTCCTTTGAACGGCAACCCTTGGGTTGACAGCCACACCCTATCTCCCACCCTTATGGTTTCACCTTCCCTTCGGTTCTTGTCTGCCTGCCTCTTGTATTCTTCCTTCGCCCTTTCTAAGTTGAGTTGGAGCTGACGATGGATTGCTTCCATTTCTTCCACAAAATGCTCGGCTGCCGGGACGCTCCATCCCTCCCCATCTCCCCCTGGGAAAGCCCTGGGATGACACCCATAATTAGCCAAGAAGGGGCTCATCCCTGTGGACACATTCTCGGCATTGTTGTAGGCAAATTCCGCCAGCGCCAACTTTTCTACCCAGTCATTCTCTCTGTCATTGACATAACACCTCAGGTATTGCTGGAGGACACCGCTTGCTCTTTCCGCCTGCCCGTTGGTTTCCAGGGTGCCGGGCAGTCGAAAAATTGACCTCCACCTGCAGTAAGCTCATGAGCTTCCTCCAGAACCTGGAAGTAAATTGTTTTCCTCGGTCTGAGACCACCTCAATGGCACCCCGTGCAACCTAAAAATGTGTTCTACAAATAACTTCGCTGTCCTACCTTTATTTCAGCAAGGCATTTGACAAGGTGCCTCATGATATTCTTGTAAAGAAGCTGGTAAAATGCGGTCTTGACTATGCTACCACTCAGTGGATTTGTAACTGGCTGACTGACCGAACCCAAAGGGTGCTCATCAATGGTTCCTCTTCATCCTGGAGAAGAGTGACTAGTGGGGTGCCACAGGGTTCTGTCTTGGGCCCGGTCTTATTCAACATCTTTATCAACGACTTGGATGATGGACTCAAGGGCATCCTGATCAAATTTGCAGATGACACCAAATTGGGAGGGGTGGCTAACACCCCAGAGGACAGGATCACACTTCAAAACGACCTTGACAGATTAGAGAACTGGGCCAAAACAAACAAGATGAATTTTAACAGGGAGAAATGTAAAGTATTGCACTTGGGCAAAAAAATGAGAGGCACAAATACAAGATGGGGGACACCTGGCTTGAGAGCAGTACATGTGAAAAGGATCTAGGAGTCTTGGTTGACCACAAACTTGACATGAGCCAACAGTGTGACGCAGCAGCTAAAAAAGCCAATGCAATTCTGGGCTGCATCAATAGCAGTATAGCATCTAGATCAAGGGAAGTAATAGTGCCACTGTATTCTGCTCTGGTCAGACCTCACCTGGAGTACTGTGTCCAGTTCTGGGCACCACAGTTCAAGGAGGACACTGACAAACTGGAACGTGTCCAGAGGAGGGCAACCAAAATGGTCAAAGGCCTGGAAACGATGCCTTATGAGGAACGGCTAAGGGAGCTGGGCATGTTTAGCCTGGAGAAGAGGAGGTTAAGGGGTGATATGATAGCCATGTTCAAATATATAAAAGGATGTCACATAGAGGAGGGAGAAAGGTTGTTTTCTGCTGCTCCAGAGAAGCGGACACGGAGCAATGGATCCAAACTACAAGAAAGAAGATTCCACCTAAACATTAGGAAGAACTTCCTGACAGTAAGAGCTGTTCGACAGTGGAATTTGCTGCCAAGGAGTGTGGTGGAGTCTCCTTCTTTGGAGGTCTTTAAGCAGAGGCTTGACAACCATATGTCAGGAGTGCTCTGATGGTGTTTCCTGCTTGGCAGGGGGTTGGACTCGATGGCCCTTGTGGTCTCTTCCAACTCTATGATTCTATGATTCTATGAAATAAAATGAGGAATCCAAGCATCAAAGCTGTTACCTTGAGTTCTTCATAGCCTCAGGCAAATGAATGTGAAGGTCTCCTTTATGAATGAGTGAAAGATAATCAAAACATAGTGTGAGATACATTTTTTTCTATGTCGTTCTTGAGGGGGTTCTTTTTGGGTTTTTTGAAGGAAAATAATAGCAACCAGGCTTCATAAGGACTGATTCAAAGAATGATTCCTTGTATCTATGTTCCACCTTGGTTAAAGATAATGAAATAAAAGTAAAAAATATGGAGAAGGGCAAGTGAAGAGACAGGGAAGGAAATTCCCCTTTTGGGCAAGAAGAGATGTGGGGCTAGAATGCAGTGTGTGGTTGAGGGGATAGTCTTAGGACAGGAGTGGGGAACTTCAGGCCCAGGAGCCAAATGTGACCCTCTCTAGGTCTCTTTATCTGGCCCTACAGAACCATCCACTAACAGTGCCTCAGTCTTATCTAGATTGAGCTTCAGTTTGTTGGCTCTCATTCAGCCCATTACCAAGGCAAGACAAGGGTCCAGCACATCCACTGCCACACCTGCAGATGTAAAGGAGAAGTAGAGCTATGTGTCATCAGCATCTTTTCCAAATCCAGGGAGGGCTTCTTAAGGAGTGGTTTTACCACTGCCTTCTTCAAGCAAGCAGGGACCACGCCCTCTCACAAGGAAGCATTAATCACCTCCCCGGCCCAGCCAGCTGTCCCCTCCCTGCTAGTTTTTATAAGCCAAGAGGGACAGGAGTCCAGAACAAAAGTGGTTACCAGGACTGATCCAAGCACCTTGTCCACATCTTCAAGTCTGAACAACCAAAACTCAACCAACACAGCAGGACTAGACAGTGCTCTGGACACTCATTGAGATTCATCCGCTGAATCAACACCTGCGGAGTCAACATCCCAGTGGATGCTAGCAATCTTATCCTCAAAATGCTGCACAGACAAATGACAGTGAGCTATTGTCGGTTCTGCCACCTCCTTCAGTACAGACTACAAAAGGCCCCACACTATCTAGAAAAGCTCTTCCGAACAGCACAATGAGGATGCAGTGGAGGGAGCAAAGTATGCCTTGATTGAAAGCAGCATGTTGAAGATGAGGAAAAACTACATTTTTGTGCTACAAACATGTTAGTGCTTACACAATCTATGCCACCCTTTGCTCTTCACAGCCACTGTCCCAGATCTATTTCACACTCCATTTCATGCAAACTGGGAGAGAGAGACCCCCTTGGCCAGCAGCAGAACAAGTGAGCATCGCCACTAGCACAGTCCCTGATTGGTGGTTCATAAACACCAAACTCTCCTCCCAACAGATGAAAATGTGAGGACAGTACACCTCATGCAGGTAAGCAGGGGAAGGGGAAACTGGTGGGAAAGTTGTGGGTGTGTCTGCCATTTTTCTGCCCACCACTGTATTTTCCCATTGCATTTTTCTCTTCCCTTTCTGGGCTGCACATGCATTGGATTCAGCAGTCATTCCGCTGGTGTAACTGAGGAGCATCTCCAGTCTCAGGGCAATGCAGGTATAGGATTGCTGTACCTGCTTAGTCCTGGCATTTTATTTTGCCTACTCTTATGACTAGGACTCTGAGGGAAAATAGTTTCTATTTTTCTGGGCCATCAACAAATTCGTTAGTGAAATTCTAATAGAGCATTTCAACATTCCCTATAAGTGACATGAATATAAGCCTCTCTTATTAATTGTAGCTCTTATTAATGTTAGCCACGAGGCAAACATTTAATTAAACCTTGGGAGACAATAAAGTGGCACATAAATTATCCATTCAGGAGTACAAAGGTCTTTACTTTTCATTAAACATAGTTTAACCAATAATTACACATCTTAAGCTCAATTTGTATTTTAGCAGGATTGAGGACAGCATCACCCTCCATGGATTTCCTGTTGTTGTTTTTGTCAGTCATGTATTTTTTCATGCTTTTTGACTTGTATTTATTTAGTCAGTTATTCATGTTATTTCCCCAATTATCACAACTGTCAGTCAGATCGTGGATTACCACGTGACTTCAAAAAGCTTCCCTCATTTAAAAAAAGATATAGGTAAACGATTAACAAGCCCTTTCATATACTCAGAGGTAATGTAGCACAGGTGTGATATTAGATGGATGTAACCATAAAAGATTTGTCTTGATTAATTTAAACTCTTTCAGTTCTCACCTATAAATCGCAGATCTTTGATATGAGGAATTTATTTCTAACTTGACTTCAGACGGACTAAAGGTAATGCACATTTGATTGCGATTTTTAACTGTGACTGCTCAGACTCCTTGAGTTGCTTAATCATTTCAAACTAAGAAAGTAAGACTAGCAAAAAATGTTGGGAGTGTGGACTGTTCCAGTTCAATGTGCAAGTCAGTTATGCCTTCTTACAGGTTACTACACCTAGAGGTGCAGCAATAAAACTGATAGCACATTTGTAAAGCTAAGCAGGTTCTGGCATGGTTTCAAATGTGATGGGGGACTGTGAGATTCCTGCATTGCAGGGCATTGGACTAGCTCACCCTTGAGGTCCCTTCCAACTCTATGATTCCATTTCTCTACTTACTCCAGTTTCCATTTTCCCCTCACTGCAACATACTTAATATTCCATACACACTAATCATACTTACCGTATTTTTTGCTCTATATGACTCTCTTTTTCCCTCCTAAAAAGTAAGGGAAAATGTGTGTGCGTCTTATGGAGCGAATGCAGGCTGCACAGCTATCCCAGAAGCCAGAACAGCAAGATGGGTTGCTTCTTTCACTGCGCAGCGACTCCTCTTGCTGTTCTGGCTTCTGAGATTCAGAATATTTTTTTTCTTGTTTTCCTCCTCCAAAAACTAGGTGCGTCTTGTGGTCTGGTGCGTCTTATAGAGCAAAAAATACGGTAGTCCTCCGAAATAACAATAACAACACTTGTTCTTCTGCCAGACGTGCCGGTATCTGCCTTTTATTTTTCAGTAGCCCTATTTTGGCTGAATAACCATCATGACCTATGTTCAGAGATAGTACAGTGGTACCTCGGGTTACAGACGCTTCAGGTTACAGACTCTGCTAACCCAGAAATACCGGTAGTACCTCGGGTTAAGAACTTTACCTCAGGATGAGAACAGAAATTGCGCGGTGGCGGCGCAGCAGCAACGGGATGCCCCATTAGCTAAAGTGGTACCTCAGGTAAAGAACAGTTTCAGGTTAAGAACGGACCTCCAGAACGAATTAAGTTCTTAACCCGAGGTACCACTGTATACTGCTTTCGCTACTGGGAATTTTGTATCTCTCCATGTGCACAGAGAGAAGTGCTGTTTACTTCACCACAGCATCCTGTGTCTCAATGATGCCAGTAAAGTGGTCACCAACAGCCTGCAGGGATGAAATGTGGCAAAAGAGGCAGGAATTTTTCCGAGGACAGACAGGAGAATCCTATAGATGTTAGAAGCTCTCAAAGAAGGTGGAGGGAGAAGAGAATAGTGACAACCGGAAGGAAAGCCCACAGTTGCTATGGGAAGATTATATAGAACCTGGCAGAAGCAACAGACACTTACCTTGAAGGTTTTGCTAGGAGAGTGTGACAATAGACTTCGAAAGAAATAGGAAATAAATCAGTCTGTTAATGGGTTTGGGCCTATTCGCTCTAACTGCTGTCTCTCAGAAAGGCCCATAAATATAAAAATCAGAGCTCCCAGCCCTGGTCCCTGAGTCCCTAAATTCAGAAAAGATGCTGTTTGGGTTTTTTTCCACCCTGTATTTTAGATCTATGCAGCCATCTTTTCTTTCCTAGTTCTTCAAGTTGCTCAGATGCAGCAGTTTCTAGGCTGAATGTAAAGGGGTCAAAGTGGTATCCATGGATTGCATTGAAAATTGAGCACTGAAGCTTTTAACAGCATGCACATAGTCCCACTTTTTTCTTTTCTGTTCCACTTGCATTGTTTTCCCACTGTGAGGTGATTTTTCAGACAGGCCCCTCAGTGTGGAGATCCACATGGGACCTGTGTTTTTATGAATGGGTTAACTCCGGGCCTAGGCGCCCCCCCCCCGCATGCAAATGGAACTGTTCAAAAATTTATGACTGGCCACTGCTGTAGGCATCGGGATGGAGGTGATAAGGTGTTTTTTTTTTTGTTGTTTTAAAGGGGAGTGCATTTTAAAAAGGGGGTTTAAAATGTTGTTTTTGAAGAACACTGCAAGAATCAACCAGAAACCATCAAATAAAAGCAAGCAAACCAGAGCCAGCAAGGCACATGCATGCGCATGCACACACAGCCCTGAATACAAAAGACTTACACGAGTGCTTCTGAAGTTAAATGTAGGTTGCTCCATTCATGTACAAAGATACTTAGATGGCAAATGAAAACTAGCTGCTGTGAAGCACTCACATTCATATATAATTGAAATACCCAAGAGTAAAATACTCAAGCACAATAGATGACAACTGATAAAAACAAGGGAAGGACTTGAAAACAAGATACAAAACTCTGGGGGATTACTGAGAATTTTCTAACACAAACTGTAGAAACTTCAATAGCTACATCTAAATTACCACATAATAAAAAACTGAAACAAAATAAAAACAGTTGAACTGCTGAAGCTGGCAAAATAGTGACTGTGCTTTGGCATACAGGAGACGATCACTGTGCCAGAGAGAGAGAGAGAGAGAGAGAGAGAGAGAGAGAGAGAGAGAGATAATAGCACTATGACTTTTATCTTCTGCCACTGGGCTAAGGAAGGGACAGCGCACTTGCTTCAGAGCATATATCCTTTATCCCATAATCCTGCTGACTCCTTTGGAAGCAATACACTGTAGAAGCTTTGAAATCTCAGAACTGAGTTGTGGAGGGGGAGTTATTCATTGCTATATTATCACTTCTTAATTCTGATGTATAAAATTATTGCCGTTATGACATATCTCTACGGCCCTTTAGAGTTCATCAAATGCATTTACAACATCATTCATCTGTAATAATTCTGTGGGATAGAACATGGCAATCCTTGTTTTACTGACAATACAGGGCCTTGTTGAAAGTCTACATCGGCTTTCATGTTGGGCAGCTTTTTGCCCTTGCAAGACTTCTTGGTTTTAGCATTCATATGGCCAGTTTAAAACCTGTTCTCAGGCACAGCAATTCTGACCACCCTCCCAACTTGCACATTGCATAACTTCTGTATGAATGCAGATGGGAGCAGAATTCCAGTATGTGCAAAAAAAAACCCCAGGCCTATCCAAGATTTGAATCAATTCTATCTGGCTCAGCTGGGATTTGAAACCAAGGTTCCATTGCCAAGGAACAGCAACAGCGTTTATCCATTGACTGTCATTTTGTAATGAGAAGTAGTGCAACCTTACCTTGTTTAGTTTTATTCTGTTCCTTTTTGAAGACTGGCAGTCAGGGATGTGACACGGTTCTGCCTTGCCCTAACCTGTCCCTTTATGATTACCAGATTTTCTAGTTGTAGGGACACTTTGACAACCCCTATCTCCCTGCTATTGACAACTGAATCAATTCATGCTCTAGTCCCCCAAAGGTATTGTTTCTATTTTCCAGGCTGTGTGAAGTTCCTGTGGTTGGCTGCTCAGGACCACCTGTGAATCGGTCCACCTGGTCAAGAGTGGACTTAAAAGTGGCATGTTGCCAACCATCTTTCGTGTCTCATTGTGCAAATGACTTTGCAGGATGCTGTGTTACAAAGAGACCAGAAATCTATTTGTATGTAGTTGCATAGGATAAATGGACCTGAAATGTTATCTACTATGCATTTGAATTATGGTGCTGGAGAAGACTCTTGAGAGTCCCATGGACTGCAAGAAGATCAGACCTATCCATTATTAAGGAAATCAGCCTTGAGTGCTCACTGGAAGGACAGATCCTGAAGCTGAGGCTTCAATACTTTGGTCACCTCATGAGAAGAGAAGACTCCCTGGAAAAGACCCTGATGTTGGGAAAGATTGAGGGCACAAGGAGAAGGGGATGACAGAGGATGAGATGGTTGGACAGTGTTCTCGAAGCTACAAACATGAGTTTGACCAAACTGCGGGAGGCAGTGGAAGACAGGAGTGCGTGGCGTGCTCTGGTCCATGGGGTCACGAAGATTCGGACACGACTAAACAACTAAACAACAACAACAATGTATTCTCTACTATGCATTTTTTGTTTTGCTCTCTATGGACAAAGATAATTGTAAGAGCATCCCTGAGCTGCATACCCCTTCCTTCAGAGAGAGTGTTACCCCATCTACAACAGGCAAAATCTGGACCTAGGA